AGTAGGAATTTTACCATCCGTTGCAATTAGAGCAAAAGTGGACCAAAACTGAGTCTATTGGAAAATCCCGTCTGTAAATGCTAACCAAGGGACAAATTCTGCCCTTGAAAATATCCACCTCCTACTGAAGCCACCAAAAATTCCCCAGAGTATCTGGGGTGGAATGCAACTCAAAGTATAAAAGTATAATTGTAGAAAAACACAATGCCAGCATCTTTGCTAAACAAATCAGTTTTGCTAGCTTATTTACTTGATGAAGTCCATCTGCAATTGTCGATACCATTGATTTAAAAAAAGGAAAAAAAGCAACCCCCCCGCAACCAAAACACAAACTTCAAACCCACAAAAACAAATATTCAACATATTTGCTTTTGGCACCAATGTTTTCCATGTCAAAACAACACGGTGCTTTTGGTTATAACAAAACCCCTTAAGAATTACAAATCTGGAACTATTCCTAGGGTAAAAATGGGGAAGAAAACCTACAGACACATTTCCTTTGGCTCAGGAGGAAAAAAAAAGGTGAGTTCAGAGTGTCCCAAAGTTGGTCCAGCAGATGCTGACAGGTTACCAGTCAGACCTTCATTTCATGATTGCTCTTTCACACCAGTCAGTGAGAGCGCGAGCAAGCGAGTGTGTGCATGAGCAAGAGCATGCAAATGCAATGAAGATACCCTTTAATGAAAAGATCATCTCCCTTTTCCATCCCTTCAAAAGAACATTTTGATTTGATCAGTCTGGTAAAACTTGGTTTCCAGTCTGATGATAGGTGGGACGGGTTGGGGGGCAGGGTTGTGGAAAAAGCAAATATAAACATGGGTCAGGAAAAAAAATCAAAATAGAACTGGAGGAAGCCCACAAGGTTGTAGCATGACAGCCCCTTACTTTTTCTTGTCTTTGTCTTTCTTGGTTTGTTGGGAACCTGCCTGCTGGGCCTGTGACTGTAGTAGCTGAGCTGCAGCCTTCTTCTTTTGGAAGTTGCTCAGCTCCTCCTCAAGCTCCTTCTTTTTGTCTTCTACCTTTTTTTTCTCTTCTTGGTGTGTCCGCTTTAGAAGGTCAAACTTCTCATGGAGCTGTCCCGACAAGGGCATGATGAAAGAGGGGGAGAGAGCACTATTAGGTTTGCAAACACCTACACATGATTGCCAAGAGATGACAAATAGGAATCCACAGCATCAAAACCATTCTGACCTGCTGTGGTCTTTCTGAGTTCTTCGTAACATAAAAAAAATTCTCCACTATTTTCCTATAGTAAAAAAAACAAGTGAAAGCTAAGAGCTGTCATTTTCTGAGGGGTGTCTTGAGTGTAACAAGGTTAAGAACCAGTTTTATAGTCTAAGCAGCCAAGGTAGGGGAACTGTAACCATCTAGCCGAAAGTCAAAGGGAGTTTACATCTTATTTTCAAATGTAACAGGGTAAAATTTTCAGAAGTACACAAGGTCACATAGGAAGGTTGTAAAATATTTTATAACCCAATCCAGATTAGATTAAACTAATGGATTAAGATAAAGTCGTTCATATGGATACAAACAGACTGAAAAACAATAATTCTTTAGGAACCTACCAAAAAAATCCCAAATCCCATGAGAAGTAACATTTAAAGAGGAAAAATTGAAGTCGGTTATACACTAGCTGTTCTGACAAAAATCAGTATTTCATCCTTTGCCAACAGCACTGCTAGGAACAGTCTCAGTCTCTAGATTATTTATGTTTGAAACAATGGCAATCCCATTTTAAAAGGATTTATGGATTGAGCAGCACATTTGACTGAGTACTGCCACAGATGTGAGATTGGTGCCTGAAAGATCTAAACTTATGTTCAATCCTTGCCAGCATCTCCAACTGATTGCTGGGGCTTGCTGAGACAGCTCACAGCTATGTAGGGGTTGCATGGTCATTTTGAAAAAACGCACTCCTACAATTCACGTTTCATGTATGTTCTAGCTCTTCAGCTAGGCACAAATGAACTTAATCATATGATGTGCAGCCACCATAACAATGAAAGTGTACAAGTGCCCAGGGTGAAGGTTGCCCTTAGGCCATTTACAGATGTTTCTACACTTGCCAACTCAGAGGCCACTTCCCTGGAAGGAAAAGCAGAGACCATTCAGCAGAAAAACCTCCCATCAACAGAACCAGCACAGGTGCCTAAGGGAATTCTAGCTAACAAAAGAATTTTCTGACAACTTCACAACACCCAAAGTGAGATGGTACTATTCCCCCAGGTCTACAGATGGAGAATGCAAGCAAGCGAAGTAGGAGACTTGTCTCAGGTCACTTCAGATATCTGTGGTGGAGCAGGGACTGGACTGCTGGTCTCTTCCCCACATTCTAGTAAGCACCCTAACCATCCCCAGTCAGTAGGATTGGGAGTTGGGTGGCCAACGCTTTTACAATCCTTTGGAAATCCCAGCAGAAACCTGTGTGCCCAATCCACTTAACAAGAAAATGCTCACATCTTTTTCTGCTTCTTTCAGCTCTGCTTCTTTTTCCTTCACTCTCATGACAAACATCTGTCTCATTTCTTCTTCCTTCTTCTGGAGCTCACCCAGGAATTCATTCCTCTTCGCTTCATAGGTCTCTTGAAGACTGTTGAAAACATCCAGGGGTGGGGGGAGGGGAACAAAACACAAACAGAAAAGGATAGTCAAGGTCTTGCTTAATACATGGATGAGACCCTTTGTGGCATCTAGTAGTGCTAGCACATTTCCCTCATGCTGAATGGCACCATGGGGCCCTGGTTGGGTGGGAGACCTAACCACATCTCCTTAAGAGCAGCTCCAGTTTTCCAGAAGACCAGAGGGTGGAAGATGAACCAATATATAAACTGAATGAACTGTACGAGTCTAAGTCACACAAGACAGATGATCTGAAAACATCACCTGCATGTGCATTTACAGTAATGCAGCTGCTAACATGGCTTTCCTCTGCTGGTCAGCTCTACATTCCAGCCTGTTGCAACCCTTCTAGTTGCATTTCTACTCATCTCTTCTATCCTATATTCATGGAACAATGACCAAGGCAACTCCGTACAGAATCAGGGCCTGTGTATTTCAAAAACCACTGTTACAAAATTACTTAAACACTTGCATTCTTCCTCTGAATTATCACTTCCTTATTAAACCTAAACCAATCTGTTATTTGGCATGTATGGACTTCTCAAATGTCAAACTTTTGGAGCATAAAATGTGTCAGCCTACACCTCTGTGTATGGCTGTGATTTTCAGACTCCCTTAGAAGCATAGGATGCCAAATTCATTTTAACTTCATTCCTTGGCAGCTTTGAAAAAAATTCAGCCATAACAATAGCTTGGGTAGAATGACAACTGTTTCCCTATGATGCATTCCTGAAGACAAAAAGCTGTTTCAATTAAAGCTCTTTTGCTCTAGGTCTAATCAGAGCAGGCAGTGCTCTCTTGTGTGTGCATGTATGTGAAATGGGAAGCAATACTTAAGACAAACAAGAGCATGTACAACCTTTCCTCCTGCTTTGGATAGGGATTTCTCCTTTATTGCATGCAACAGTTTTTGTTGTCAAATCTTGTCCCTTCATTCCAATTAAACATGACTTCTAAACTATGCCAAATCTTGGGCTTCCCTTTACCAAGTGTTGAGCATTTCTGAATCCCATTAAACTTCCTTTCCCAGTGTCCTACAGGAACAGGTTTCTCATGGAGTTGGACATGAACCTCTTGACCCCAGTTCAGCTTTGAATGGCAGAGTTCTCATAAAATTTTTCTTCTCCAGGGGTTTTTAGCCCTGTGTGACTGACTGATTCTGGGCTGCATCCAGAAGCACAGTGGATCTGAATCAGAACCTTCCTGAAATTGTTAAGCTTCTGGTTCTGACCCATCTTCAAATGTCAAACTAGGGGCTATGAAAAAAATCCTCCTCCTTCCTCAACAGATCCACTGCCCAAAGGTGCTTCCATTTTTATCAGTTTGCTTTAGTGAGGAGCAGAGACTTGCAATAGTGACATGTCCTCCTAGAAAGCAGCAAAATAAAACCAAAAGCCTCATGCTATGTGGTTAATCATATCCTGTGCCTCAAACCATCTCCTGCCAACCTCATTTCCAAAAAAAGGAGCAGCACAGCAAGAGGCACTAATCTTGGCAGGGGAGGGGCAGGGTAAGAAACACAGAGCTTTTGTTTTAGCCCCTTATGCAAATCCCTGACTTGGTGTGAAGCTTTTGACTAAAACCAAAGCCAGTAAAGCAAATTTCTTTGCTGGAGCTATGTCAGCAGAGTCTGACCTAGCAGTTCCCAATCACATCTGAGAAAGTGGCCTGTAGCCTAGAGGATATTCAGACCAGAGCCATTTGGAATTTCTGCAACTTCTTACTATTACGGAGTTCAAGAAAATCTATTGTTTCCTGACAAGAAGCAAATAGAGTTGACCTAGATGACATGCTGAAAGAAAATGCCCCAAACCTTACCAAGAAAAGTGTTTCCAAATTATGGCTTTGTTAAATAATAATAATAATAATAATAAAAAAGCCTTTGTAGGATTTACTGTAAAGATTCCTCAACTTCTAGCCAAGGTGCTGGGGAAAGGATTCTGCAGGAGGAGGAAAATGAACATGAGACAAAGGGACTGAAACAGCAACGGGTCTCCAAAGGCTTTGAGAACAAATAAGCTTCTCCTGCACAAAAAGACAAACTACTCTTTGGTTACAAATGCTGATGCTACCTCCAATTTAGACTTGTCTCAGAAGTAACTGGAATATGAGTAAGCAGTGGCAGCATTCTTCTGATTAACTCAATTTTGCAAGGCTGCCAACCCCTCCATTGTACACCTTATTGCAACAGCTGAAGCAGCTAAACAGTTTGCTGCTAATTTCCTATCCAGCTCAGCTCAAAATGTATGAAGCACTTGCAGCTCCTTACAGGCATAATGTAAATCTCCTGGGGAACTGAGAAACCTGTAGCTCACAAAGCTCAGACTTAAGGGAATACACGTGCCCTGGGAGAAGTTAGTAGGTTAGGATTCTTTCCTTTGTTTCCCTCATATTGGAAATACTTCTACTTCAGCAAAAGGTTGCTGTCTTTAATGGAACAGGAGCTTTTTAAACTAGCATCCATCAGATATAGAAATGATGTCTCTTCTCATTTCTTTTCTCTTCGTAGTTTGGTCAAAAGCGGCCTCAGGCATACAGGAAGCAATGGAAATTCCTTGGATTCCTGAAAAGGAGAGGCTGAACCCATCTTAAGTCATTATCCTCCAGAAAGGAAATCAAATAAAGCTTCACACTTCAGTTTGCTAGAGGGACAGGGCATGATCTCTCTTACACACGTAGAGGAGGAATGTCACTGAAATCAATTAAGGCTACTGTTATCTTGGCCAGCAGCAACTCAAACCCTACCCTAGACAACCTTTGTGTTTCACATTGTGGGTCTGACTCCCCATTTGCACTGGGACAATTCCAGTGAAGTCAATGATGTTACTCCAGCGTCTGTTAGAGGAGAGTAAGGATATACACATACCTCTGCCGGCTATGGAGCACACCAGTGTTTCTGTTGCCAAAAATGTTTGCAGTAATTGGTGCCAGCATGCGATCTGTTTGCAATCTCAGGGATTAGTGTCGATACTCCTTTTCACAATAAAAAGCCTCATAATAGGTTATGTACTCTAAGGCCACAACTTCCAAACAAGCACAGACGTGTGGTATTTGGCACCGCAGACGTGTCTATGGTACCACACACTGAATATGCAGGAGTTCCCTACACTGCCCCCTTGCCGTGAAAGGGGAGGGGGGGCCCCCTTGCAGTGAAAGGGGAGGTGGGGAGGGGCGGTGGCCCTGGGAAATCCTGAGTTTAAAAAAAACCCACACTGAAAAAAGCAGGGTGGCGCATATGGCGGCAGCATGCACCCCCAAAACCAGAGCCTGGTCAGCTGGAGCCACTCCTGACGCAGCTGCAGCCCTGGGAGGCACCCAGGACCCCAGATAAGGCTGCTAGGGCCTTCCCTATCTCACCTGAGATAACCTGCTGAATGCTAGAGCATGCATGGCATGTGCTTTTCCGAGGGACAAATACAAGGTATGCTGCTGCTGCTTGTCCCTTGGGAAACAAACATCTACACTTGTCTGGAAGCAGCCTAAGAGGTTATTTAGACCCATGCTACCTCAATGGTGTAGTACTGGCAATGCAGGAAGATTCAAGTTTTGGATCCAACTCAACTCTAGCCAGGAAAAGCTTGTGTTACTGAAGAGGCAACATGCTCAGTTAAGTGGATGGAGAGAAACAAGAGACTGGTGAAGGAGGGGGAAACCCCCAAAACTGCTGTCACTCATTAGTGACTCAATAGCAAAGAGGCTCTGCTGTGCCAGATAAGACAGTGAGCCAAATCCAGCACACCAGTCGGCAGTACACTGTGCCCGACACCTCAGATGAAGGTGCCCTTCCCATATATCACATATTTCACTGTGAAATGCTGCAAGACAGTCAGTGAGGATGTGGCAACCAATTTATTAATCGAAGCACAAGATTTAAATCACCTCCATCTTTCTGAAGCTACAAGTGTTCCTGGTCAGAGTTGTCCTGTCCCTTTTTAAATCCAACAACAGCATTTGCTCCTGACATCCTGCAGCTATACAGAGTGCAGCCTGCAAAGAACAGCAGCATCCATTCCCTAAGAAGGATGAATTGATCAAGGGGTGGGGGAAGGGTACTTCTTGTATGGGGCCTGCGGACCTAAGCAGACTCCTTCAAAAAAGCAAAAGGAAGTAAGAAGCATGTCTAAAGCGACCTACAATCCTCCTCCTGCTAGGAGGTCTGCACCAGGATGCCTGGGGTGCAGCAAATTACAAAGCAAATTGGAGAGTGGACAGATAAATCTGCAGTCTGCCCTTGATTGGACAGTTCAGAACCATCAGGAAAAAACTGTGATAGAACCTACCACAAAGTCAGAAAGTGCCCTTTGGAAGTTAAAAGAAGTATCAACCCTCAAATGAGCTTCTCCCCTGTTAGCAGACACTAGTCAAACACTCATCAGACTCTGGCTACTCATACTTTGACATTATCCAGATTATGGACCAGAACTTATTGCACTGGGTAAGATTCCTGCCCCAGAGAGATCAGACTGGCAGAAAGGGGAGCAAGAGGTTGCTACAAGGAAGTAATAAGATGATCCTGGTCAGCATGATAGACTGTGGCCAGAGATGTGGGGCGGAAAACGGAAAATTTTCCGTGGGAAATTTTCCATTTCTAAAAATTCATTGTTTCATAAAATTCATTAGTAACAATGAATGGATGCCAATACAATATTAGGCAAGCTTGGCAGTTTCAAAGGTGTAATTCATGTTTTTCAGGTGATTATCCCTAGGAAATGTGTGAGAGAGTACACGTTTTATTGATTTGTAAACAGGAGGGTAAATTCACTTACATTATAATCCAAACCAAAAGTCAAGTTATGAATTCACCTAATTGGCTGTGCAGGCCAAATCAAAACCAAAGCATGGCATATCATGCACAGTTCTTTGAGTGTACTAAAATTAGTGCACCTTCAGTTTTTTTCTTAAATTTAAACAAACAATGTAAGGGAAATACATGCTATTCTACATTGTCTTTACAGTTTTACAAGTATTCTAATAAAAGTAATTTCTTTCTACATAAAGCTTTGAATTTGTTTGAATATAACATTTAAACCACATTAAGTGTGCTATATTTAATTCTTTTCCTAATCAAATATTTCAGTCCAAATGTTTGTGGCTATTGGGACATAAAATTAACATGGGGTACTTCTTTTGGTGTTGTTAAACTAAATAGAAGTCAAATAAACATGCTAAATCCGATCACGCTCTATTTGGGGCATTGGAAAATTTTCTGGAAAACCCACATCTCTGGCTGTGGCATCCGTATGCTGGCTGCTGAACATTCGAGTTTGGTATAGATGTCATAGCAAGAGGAACAGTCTAAAGGAGGGACCTGAGAGACTAATAAAGTCATGTTTCAGATGTTTATGAGATGCTTTCTCCCAAAGGGCAGTTTTGGGGGAAAACATGAAGTTTGCTGGCTTGCATATCTAACAAGCCAGGGATGGAGGTTGGCCTGACAGAGTGGTTGGAGACAGGTGCGGACCTCTCAATACTGAGAGGCAGGCAGGGATGTGCTGTGAAAGGTCTTTCAAGTGAAGAGCAGCAGCTGATGGTTCTTGCAATATAAGCAGCAGCCAGCAGAGTGTTTAACTTAACTCCCAGGGAGACAAAGCAATTTTCACAGCAGCTGCTGTGAATGTCACAATTTTCAAAGTACAAACTGCAGGATTCGCAGGCATTTCCCAGCAGCCCCACCCCTCACCACTGACTGGCAGAGAGGCAGATACTGTACAATTTAACAGCAAATTCTGCTGAAAGTAAATTATATAATTTATCATATTATAAATCTAAATATTAATTTAAATCTAAATTTAAATCATATAAATATAAATGAATATATAATATAAATTGTAATTTATATCATCATAATTGATTATATGTAGCATTCTAGAAAACAGTTTAGAAATACTAATTAACGCTAATCTGAATAGAAACACTTTCACTTTACTCACTAGTGCCTTCACTTAGTCTATGTCAGTAGCAGACAGTAACTCAACCGTATGATCTCTAGCTGCAATGACTGTCATGTTGTCTCTGTATTGCAGTAAGCACCAGGGCATTCTAAAACAGAGTACTATATGAATAAGCAGAGTTTTTTAGATTGATTTAATGGGAAATTGCAGTCATTGCAATATTTCCTGGCAATCCTGGACAATGCTGTTTTTTTGCACATCCACAAAAATCACAAAACCACAAATTAAGCAGACCCACAGTGATGCAATCAATGCAACAGGATAGTAAAGCTATCTTTGGTATGCCTTGTATTTTTTTAGGATGGTCTGAACAAGGCAGACTTTTCTCTCCTGTTGCATCAAAATGCATAACAACCCCCCTGTCCACAGTGAGGTCTCATGAGATATGGGAGCATCCTGCCAGCCATATTTCTGGAATGTCCATCCCAGCTTCCTCCGTTTCTCTGATACATGAGCCCTCAAGATTTTGAGACCATCTATCCTGCAACAGAAGGCACAAGGGCAGCACAGAGCAGCTTTAAAACTAGCATGGGTAATAACAGGCTGCCCACCTAATTATGTACCAGGGATTGCTGGGGGGCTTGTGCTGCAAGTTCATGGTATTTTTCACCTGTACTTCCTAAGATATACCCAGCAGGCTGCAAACATGCCTTCCATTACAGCATAGGTGCTCTCTTGTGGAAGGAGACAAGGCAGTACTTTCATGACCCATCAATGCTAGACTAATCAGCATGAAGAATTCAAATGTGCACAAAACAGAGGCAACTCCTCTGATCACAATCTATAAAAAGATACTACCTTCCCCCCACTTTCTTGGCGCTCTCACATATATACATCCATTCAGCTGCGCCTGCTTTTTAGTTGCACAGGTCAATGCTCTTGCTTTCATACCTAAATGGTTTGCTATCTGGGTCAGTATCTTTGAATCCCATTTCTTCTAGCTTGCAGCGCCTGTAGAGTTCATAGTGCCGTGTGTGCGTCTGCTCTCTCAAGTCCTCCATGTTCACACGGATCAGCATCTCCCGCAGCTTCACAAAGTCACAGTGGTTTTCATTTTCAACTACCAAGAGGAAAATATAAATAAATAAAATGGCCTGGCCTGGTCACAATGGGAAAATAAAATCAATGGGAAAACTAAATTCAGTGGGTTTCTTTCACTCCTTTTTCTAAAGAGAGGCCCCAAGTAACTCAGCTCCAAAGCTATGAAATTACTTTTAGTACACGAAGAGCCCTGCTGATATCAGATGCTTACAGACTTCAAAGGAGGCATGTACTGCTGTGCCTTACTAAGATGGGGTCTCAAACGTTTAAAACAGGAACCAATAGGATGCTCATCAAGGCCTTTAGTTTTATTTGCTTTATCACCAAGGATCCTCGTTTTCCGTTTAAAAAAAAAAAAAGCAAATTCCCGGATTTAAAAAAACAGGCAAATTATCTGACTATTTCCCTCCCACCCCAATCTGCATTTTTCTGCGATTAAAACAAAATGCTATACAGTATATACATACATACACACACTGGTAGGCTTTCAATTTGCTCAAAAATTGTAAATATATCAATAAAACATTGTATTCAACTGATACATGTGTGTGTGTATGTGTGTACAATGTTGTTTTCTCTCTCTCTCTAGAAAATAATATATGACAGGTCTATATTCTAGGTCTATTTCTATATAGATATATATAGAAAACAACATTCTACAGGTATCAGTTGAATACAATGTTTTATTGATATATTTACAATTTTTAAGCAAATTGGAAGCCTACCAGTGCCTCAATCACTATAATCAAATCAATTCTAAATACCTATACATTTTGGTGTTATATTTTGGGGATTTTTATCATGGAAAGTAAGAGCTCCCCCTGCCCCCTTTGCTCACCAGGACACGGGTTCAGCTGCAGCTCTCTCCCCTGACTCTTTGTGGTGCTGAGTAACCCTGTTATGCCAGTGCTCTGCCCATGCCATTACCCCTCACTCCCAACCCACAGCCCACCAACCCCTGCTGGTGCCCCTCATAGCCCTGATATGCTGGTGCGCAACCCTGCTGGTGCCCTTCACTCTGCACCCACAGCCCCCCATACCTCTGCCAGTGCTCCTCACTCACCACCCACAGCCTCCCCCAGCCGTCACTCACCACCCACAACCCCTCCACACTTTTCCCCCAGCCCTGCTGGTGCCCCTAATTTGCCACCTACAGCTGTCCCCCAACCACTGCAAGGGCCTGGGGGGAGCAGGAACCCCATCCACAACCCCAACACCCCTACTTGTGCTCCTCAATCCCTACCTGCAGCCCCCCTGTGGCCCCCAGCTGCCATGGCTATGGGCCCAGATCCACAGCCCCGTGCAACAGTGCCTGAACTCCAGCTGCCACCTGTAGGAGGCGGCAGCGGTTGCTGCAATGGAGCAGAACCCAGCTCCCCCTCCTCCACGGGTGGCCCAGCCTGTGTGGGAGTTAGGGGGAAGAGTAGATGTCGTCTGCCTGATGTGGGCTTGGGCTCTCCACCCTACTGTCCTACCCTGGGGACTTTCACAGCCCAGCGGGCAGGACCCAGCATGGCAGATCAGAGCAGAACAGAACCAGGCAGGGAAGTTTGGTGCCATCGCCGGGCATCTGGTGCCACCATGGCGAGGCACCTCCTGCCCTCTCAGCAGCAACGAGGGGTACAACTCTGCACTGCTCTCTCTGCTACTCCTGGGTGGGCAGGAGGTGCCTTGCCATGGCAGAGCAGGGGGTGGTGATGGCACCAAGCTTCCCCACCCATCTCTGCCCTGCCACGTCAGGTCTCACCCACCATGCAAGGGACCCTGAGCCTGCAGCCCACACTCACCCCTGCCCTGTGTACAAGCCTGGGGGGCACATGCTCCCCATGGCCTCCCCAGGAGTGCACACAGCAGCAGGGAACCAGCTCCCTGCTGCCCCCAGGACAAACCACCCATGACCCTGTCCTGCTCCCCACCTGGGCCCTGCAGCCACACATTTGGCCCCAGGCCTTAGGCCCCACCCCAGCTGGGCAGCAGCCTCAGACCTGCCCAACTGCCTCCCTCCCTCACTATGGGGGCCTCAATCCCACCCCCACACTAGACTTACTCGCAGAAAGCTGCTCTCCAGGCTGCCTGGCAGCCATGTGCATGTGGTACATGCACAGATGCACATGGTGCCCCCTGCCTGATTGCCCTTCTCCTGCTCCCCCCAGGCCCTTGCAGCCTAGACTTCTGCCAGCCCGCAAAGGCAAACCTGCCATTTCCCATGTTTCTTTCCTTAAATTGAGAAAATCCAGGCTTTACTGTTTTTCCATGGCAAATGGAAAACCCAGATCTCTGTTTATCACTGCTCTCCCAAATCTCTCCCCCATGCAAAGATGTAAAAAGCTGTATTTCAGCAAGGAGCTTTGGACTCTTCTTCTCCAGGAGTGAATTACAGGTCCTAGCTTTGCTGGCATCTATGTTCCATGCTGAATTTTCAAATGCAATAAGAGACAAATTTCACTGTCACATGCACACAGGGTTTTCAGCGGCTTCAAACAAGAGCTAGCACATCTGAAGGGGAGGAAGAGGGATGGTATTTGTCATTTTATTGATACTCTGTAAGGTTTTAAAGGTGAAATCAGCTTCCCTTTTGAGTGGACAGCATAAAAATAACCAGGGTCTTTTTCCTTCTATCTTGACATACCCTGCACAACACCCCAAGGATACTGCCTGGCCTTTGCCATCTTGTTGCCAATTTTCACTTCTTCAGTGCTGCCAACAACTGCAAATGGAAGGTGGACCTAAAAACAAAACACAAAACAACACACACAAGAAGTTAGGGATTTCCTCTGCTGCTTTGCCAAGAAGGAAACACTCACTATTCCTTAAGACAACTATACTGACTTTCAGTTACTGAAATGCCTCTGCACTGGATGCTCTGGATTAGAGGTATGCTCTCTGACTTCATAGAGAGAAGTGTCTTTACATTGCAGATGACTGCTTTTCTCGTAAACCATCTCTCTTGCTTTTTGTTATAACATGGGTATTATATTTAAGGCTCCATGCACTTTGAGCTTCAAAGCCGTTGTATCTGTTTTCATAACAAACGTAATATCTCCCTTGCTTCACATGGGACAGGCTGCCAAAGAGACACTTAGCCCTGCAAATATGAGTAACTGCTGTTTGTGCATACGTATTTACTGCACTGATGGGAAGTTCATCACAATGTCTGTGTCCTTTGCAGGAGTCTAGTTAACAGACTGGAACATTAAATCAAGCAAAAAGTAAAGCTAAGAGAAAGGCAATTAAAACACAGGAATGTGCTACAGCTAGAAGCTTCAGATCTTTCTGTCAAAGGGTTGGATTACAAGATAAGGTGCAACCGAAAGCAAGGGACTGTGAGTAAACAGCAACTCTCACACCGCCAAATAAGTCATTTCCCACTTCCTACAGATTACTACTACAAACACATGCATGGGAATCTGGTGCTGGCCTGCACACAGTCAAACCATGATGCTCTGTGACCAGCTATGCTGTGCTAATCAGTGAGAAAGCACATTTGTATGGGAGAAGACCCTGAGCTATGGCTCTGCTTCCTCCTAAGCAGCTCCTTATAGAAGATGCTAGAAAGCAAGGGGCTAAAAAAGCAAAAAAATTCACCAAAGAGGGTTTCGTATCAGTCCAGTGAGATGTAAGGTCTTGCAATGCCAGATATGCTGTAAAAGGCATAATCCCTCCCAAGAGGAAGCCTGGCCTGAGTGGTTGGTTGCCTCAGGAAAGCTCAGCCAGATGGTGCTTTTGCTATGTCAGTGTTATTCTAATGGGCTGCTGTGTACCAAAGGGTGAGTCTAACCTATATTGCTTCTAATTGGCATCTGAAGTAGTGAGCTTCAGCCCCAGAGGTTCACATGTATATACACCCCCC